ACCTTCCTAAGGCTGCGATCCTTAAATAGTTCCTCACGTTGTGCTGACCCCAACCATAAAATTATTTTCATTGCTATTTCATCACTGTAATTTTGCTACTGTTATGAATCGCAATATAAATATCTGATATGGGGCTGGAGAGATGGCTCAGCGGTTAAGAGCACTGACTGCTCTTCCAGAGGTCCTGAGTTCAATTCCCAGCAACCACATGGTGACTCACAACCATCTGTAATGGGATCAGATTCCTTCTGGTGTGCATGTAGACAGAGCACTCATATACATGAAATATATGAATAAATAAATCTTTAAAATAAATAAATAAATATCTGATATATAGGACAACTGAGATGTGACCCTCAAAAGGGCCATAGCCCACAGGTTGCGAACCACTGGCCTAGGGACAGGAGTGAAGGGAGGAACAGACTGCAAAGGAACACAAGAAACTTTTGGGAGGCGCTGGAAAGATGGCTCAGCAGTTAAGAGCCTTTGTTGCTCTTCTAGAGGACCCAAGTTCACACAAACTGGGAGGCTCACAACTGCCTATTACTCCAGCTCCAGGAGAGTCAACCCTTCTGGCCTCTGTGGACACAACACTCATGCCTAACACCTACACAGATACAAATGCATGAACATAATTTAAAATAATAAAAATAAATCTTAAACAAACAAAAAAAACCAAGCCAGGCGGTGGTGGCGCACGCCTTCAACTCCAAGCGCTTGGGAGGCAGAGGCAGGTGGATCTCTGTGTGAGTTCGAGGCCAGCCTGGTCTACAGAGTGAGTTCCAGGACAACCAGGGCTACATAGAAAAAAACCTGTCTCAAAAAAGAAAAAACCAAAAGGAAACCAAAAAACTTTGGAGGGACTGGGGAGGTGTCTTAGCAGTTAAGAGCAATGGCTGCTCTTGCAGAGGACCCAGGTTCAATTCCTGCACCCACATGGCAGCTCACAACTGTCTGTAACTCCAGTTCCAGGAATCTGATGCCCTCTTCTGGCCTTGGCAGGCACCAGGCACACACGTGGTACAGACATATGGGCAAGCAAAACACACACTTAAAATTAAATTAAACAAAAACATAGAAAAACTGGGGGATAGACAGAAATGTCTGTCCTTGTGATTGCTGTTTTTTTTTTTTTTGTTTGTTTGTTTTTTGAGACAGGGTTTCTCTGTGTAGCTTTACGCCTTTCCTGGATCTCACGCTGTAGACCAGGCTGGCCTCGAACTCACAGAGATCCGCCTGCCTCTGCCTCCCGAGTGCTGGGATTAAAGGCGTGCGCCACCACCGCCCGGCGTGATTGCTGTTTTATAGATTTGTTCTTATCAATTCAATTCTTATCAAAATTGTTCATAGTGTACACATGAAGCAAATGCATCTACTGTCTGTCAATTATACATTAATAATGGGAACTGACAGACCTCTAGGATTGAAACTTAGCATTCCAAACAACAGGAGCAATCTCTATTCAATAAAGACTTCACATCACCAGCAGACCATTAAGAGACAAATCCCATGTGATTCCTGTTGGAAAAGTTTTATGGAGAATTGTTTTACTATCAACAGAGGACCCAGAAACCTCCATCTTCTATCTCATGAATAAGCATAAGCATGGAAAAATCAGTAGTTCACAGGATTAGCATGATTAATATATGGTGGATTAACTCAAGATGGCTAAGAAACTCTCTCTCCTAGGTTACTGTCTTATTTTTAAAAGACTCAGCAGAAACACGTCTATTTTGTGCCATCTACCAACCCAAGGTAGTTTTATTTATTAAAAACTATACTAATCTCAAACTTTCACAAATGACAACCCTATGACAAGAAAATACTTGGTTATGATGCAACGCCTATCATGATTAGCGACTTTTATAATTTATCACTGGCATAACAAGTCTCAGCTCCCAATCACACAAATGATCAAGTTAGCCTATTTTCAACTCTTTTTGGAGTAAGCATTTTTAAGAGCCTCTAGCCTATTCTTTTAGGTGCAAATATTTAGCTTTCATTTTTTTAAAAAGCATTCTGGTTCACCTCAGCATCGTCTGTAATCCTTTCCTACTCTATTTATCTTAAAGACTGGTATTCCTCATGCTTTCATCCTCTCTTCAGGTCTCACTGCAGACCATCAGCTCTCAAACTCTGCAATCTCTAAGAAGAGAATTCAGATTGAGTATGGCCGGGGCTGGCGACAGGGCTCAGTGGTTAAGAGCACTTATGGTGCAGAGGACCCAGATTTGATTCCCAGTACCTACATGGTGATTCACAATCATCCATAACTCCAGTTCCAGGAGATCCTATGACCTGACCTCCACAGGTCTGTGCTGCACAGACATCCATGTGAGCAAAACATAAAAATAAACACATAAATCAGAAAAGGTTTTTAAGTACTCCCAATGAGTCCAATCCTGGTTAAGAGATGGGCGGCCCATTTGCCTTCATATTAGTTAAGTTTCTCCAGGTAAACCAAGTTACACACTAAGAAACACTGCTTTTACCATAATCCCTAGACGAGCTTATGAATACACTCATCTCGTAGAGGAAAATAACATGTTTCCAATTTCTTTTACAGAAGATAATTCTCAAATCTGTACTTTAGATCAATTCTTCAAATGAAATCCAAATCCATTCATTTTCCTAATGTTACCTCTTGTTCAAAAACTGTTGGGTTTATGAATCCAAGGCCAACTGTTGCCAAAGACAGAAACCTGTAGACATCCTATGTTCCGCCCTCTTACCTCTCCCCTCCAATCATCATACACATCCCTAATATGGTTACTATCATGCACCATGCTTTATTTTCTTTCTTAGGTTATTATAATTGTCTTGGTAACAGTCTCCACTCACCTTTCAATCCATCTCTTCAAAAGTGACCTTTCCTCTCAGGATAATGACAATTTCAACACCTTAGCATGCCATAATGCCCCATGACCTGGCTCCTGCTAACTTCTCTAAAGGATGTCTCTGTAATACCCTCCACCCCCTGACATCCTCCACACCAATGATACAGAACTAGTTAGTATCGACTTCTTTTACCTGTTCAAATGCTCTTCTCTTGGGACAGGAGGGTTGAGTCTCCAAGCTAGCTAATGACATTATTCTTTGACTTTCAAACCTTAGTCTATGAGTGGCCTATTCTGGGCTACATAGTCAGTTCTAATCAGCATAAGCCACAGAGTGAAACCCTGTCTCAAACGAAAAACAAGTGTGTGGTGACAAGGGCATGTAATCCCAGCACTCAGGAGGCAGATGCAGGACTGTTGCAAGTTAGAGGCCAGCCTAGGCTTCACAGTGAGTTTCCAGATAGTGAGACCCTACCTCAAAACTGTATTTTTTCCTATTACACTGACTGCATGGCCATGCTTACCTATCTCGTTCTGTTTTCCATGCCTGTATGTCCAACCTACTACACAGCTGCCACAGAGCGGCCACTTAAGAAATGTTATCTAAATGAATGAATTCGTCAGGGAGGTCCAAGGTGAACAGGAATCTTTTCTTTTGTATTAGCCATAGCAAAACATAGCATATTCACTACACAAAATGATACATCGGTGCCACAATTAAGTAGCTTGAAAATATAAAGGTTCCTTACAGATATTTTTATTTTCCTTCCCAAGTTCGTCAAATTAATTATGAACACATATATGATGTGGAGGACGGGGGTTGCAGGACTACCACTAACTGAATCACATATTCCATTTTTACTATAATGTGCATTTTATTGCAAGCCAGGTCTTTTTTCCCCACACTAGGATTATACCTGCACTGTCCAATCCAGGAGCCACTAGCTACAGATGGCTACTGAAATTTAAGTCAATTAAAATTAAATAAAATTTATAATTCGGTTTTTGAGTTGCACTAGCCACATCTCAAGTGCCCAAAAACCATACCTGGCTGGTGGCTATGATGCTCCAAAGTGCAGACACAACACATCTTTATCAGCACTGTCTACACAATTTCAAAAATGTCCCCAGAAAACCTCACTTACTTCTTAGCTCCCACGATCCTGGTGCTCCTCTGTGGCTTAAGGGCTGTGGGTCCCGGGGTCTAGCAAATCACAAGCACACGAGTGAGTGCCAGGGACCTTTGAACCTCATCCACAAAGAGATGACTCCCCCTTGTGCCTAGACGGGAAGCTCTCGCGGGCAACTACTTCAAATGGAAGGAAGGTGGGTGACACTTCTTAGGAAACGTGTGCCATCCTATATTTCTACAGTGTGAAGGCGGGCTGACAATACCGGAGCTTTCATCTTTGCCCATTCGCAAAGCCCTATCCTAGAGGAAGGATCGAAAAAGGAGACCGGGGAAAAAATAAGAAGAAAAGGAACCGGGAGGCACTGGGGATGCTGAAGGAAGGTAACTAATTACAATCTGTCGAGGAACTGAGTCCGAGGACATGGGGAACAGGCAAAACTAAAAATGGGAGATAAAGGGGGGCAAGTGGCTCTGATATAAAAGGGTGGGGCCTACGATGGGCTCTGATAAAACCAACTCCGAGTTCGGGACAAAAGCAAGGGCCCTGGTGTTCTCGGCTCGACAGTTCTATCTCTAAAGTATAATGGTCACACCAAGAAACTCACGGCGGTGACTGCACCGAGTCTGGAAGACATCACTCCCCCTCCACGCCTAACAATTTCACCCAAGGGCTCCGGCCAGACCAACGCCACTTCCGCTCTCCTCGCCTCTCCCGGATGTGGTCTCCGCGGCGACTAGCCCTGTTCTGAACATCTACTTCCGCCTAGCAGCTTCCGAGGGGGCTGCAGCGGGGAAGGGGGGAGTGTGGGGGAGGGGGAGTCACGTGACGACTCGTCTCCCGATGCTTTTGGGACCCCGCCCTCATGGCGGCCCGAGGATTAGGGAGGCCATCCCGCCGGAGGGTTGGAGCAAGTGGGCGGAGTCTGAAGATTTAAGTGAGGGGGTCCTCCTGAACCCCAACCCTTGAGTTCCGCCAGTTTGCACACCTAGTCCCACCCACCCCACAAGTGATCTTATGGATGCAAATAGAGTTCGATTATTGCCCCTTTATTGATCTTAAATTACAGACCCATTCTCACTCCCCTCCAGAGAGCTCTTTCATTGCTGAGGGTGCAGGCAGTGGCTGAGCAGAAAGGGCAGCTAGGTGAAGATTCGCAGGCTATAATTAATAGAGGCAGGTCTCTCCTTATCTACTAACTTCATGTCTCCAAACTTGTCCAGCTTTTTGATTTTTTGGTGTGGTCCCTAGGAGGCATAAGTCCCTGGGAGTTTATAAGTCTTGAAGTCTTTATAGACAAGCTATGTCTGGGCTTCTCCTTACCCCTGAGCCTCTCCTTGGTACTGTGATGGGGTCCCTCGTTGTGACCTTGCCGGCTCCTCTCAGAATAACTGTGTCTGTTCTTAGAGGGACTGTAGTGAGTTCTCTCAGAATGACTGCGGTGGAGTCTGGAAGAAGACCTGTATAGCCTGGACTCTGAGGGAAGGTGGTGGACTCTCCCAGAAGAATTACGCCTTTTCCTGCCAGAGGGACCCCTGAAAGGGGTTCTCTCAGAGAGACTACCATGGCTCCTTTCTGAAGGACTGCACCGTGTCCTCTGGATGGGACTGAGATGGCACCTTTTTGAGGGACGGTGGCTTCTTCTCTCTCGTCCTCTTCTCTCTCGAGGACTAAGAGACCTCCTAGAGGGACTCCTAGGGCGTCTCCCAGGACTGGGTCGGCTCCTCCCTGAGGGACTGCGACCTATCCCCTTAAAGAGACTGTAATGGCTCCAGGAGGGATACTTTGAAGGGTTCTCACAGACGGACTACTATCCTGTCTCGGGGAGGGACTGCAATGACTCCTGTCAGAGAGATGTCTAAGGGTTCTGTCAGAGGGACTGCTATGCCTTCTCTGAGAAGGACTGCGGTATCTCCTCTCAGACAGACTTTCATGAATTCTCTCCCAAAGGATGCGATCGGTCCTTTCAAAAGGCTTATTATGGAGGGCACTCTCCCTGAAGAAGCCTATGACATTTTGAACTTTACTCAAGGTTGGAGGATTGAAGTAATTTGGATAGTGGCATCTCTTTCCGAAGCCATGGTCTCCAATTGCAAAGGTATGGGTTGGAGAGAGCTCACTTGTTTTGGCTGTTGAGTTTGTCTACATTGGTCACCTGTTCCCTGCAATCTGTCCTCTTGCTTAGGGTTCACACCTGCTGACCTTTGCTGGGCAACTGGTGTGCTGGCTCCTTTGCTATCTCCTGCTAAACAATACCTGTTGGCTCTTTGTTTGGGGTGCAAGTATTGGGTTGACCACAAATTGCCTGGCCTTGTCCTGTCCTCAGGCTTCTGTCCAGTATAAGCCACAATTCTATGTGCTATTTGGAATGCCTGCCTTAGGCCCTGGAAAAGCAGCTGGTAGAACTTGGCCTGAGAGGATTTCTCAGGTTGTGTCTTCGAAGAAACAGTGCTTGTTTGAACGGTTTCAATACTCTTGCTTCTTGATGGACACATTATTCTAAAAGGACTCTCTTCCGGGGTTTCACTATTTTTGTAGAGCTTTGTGTTTTGTGTTTTAAGTCCCTTGATGGTTTCCTTCATTGGATAGTTTAAGTCAAAGGTCTTTTTGAGGCTTGATTTCGACCATTTTTCTTCCTGATTACTTTCAAAGCCACTCTTGGATACAGAGTGAACCTGATGGAATTCATGGTGCTCAGAGTCTTTGGCGTCTGTCTGGCGGACCACCCCATGGCTGCCCCGTTGCTTTTTTCTAATGTGCACTTGTACAGTAGCCTGGGAAGATCAGACCTGGAAATCTCTTGGAGTAGTTGGACTCTTGGAAGCTGGAGGATAGATTTTAGCTTTCCTTCGTGATGGTGATGTAGTGCTCTTCCATGTATCTGCTCTTTTTCTCCCACGATGCTTTGAGACTTGAGGTCTTTTCCCAGTTCTCAGTCTAAAACCAAGATGCAACCGAATGTCACCATGGCCTTCACGGGTGCTTAAAAGGTGGATCTGTGGGTAGACGAGAAGATATGGACCAAAAGCAGACTGTAACTTATGACAGCAATTAACTCCTGAACATAGGCCACACTGCATGCAGATGGGATATTTCAGGACAAGACCCGATGAGATAGGTGGAGGGACATTGTGGGGTACTTGACTCTCTAAGAGTTTTGCTGCTATTTTTAGCTGTAGATCTTTTAGCAGATGGAGCTGTTCTGAGATATCCCTCTCAACCTGGGAAAGACAACTTGCCTTGAGGGAGTGGTGAGAGCCAAAAGTCCTTGTCGGTGAATCACTCTGTGAGTCTTTACTCTGGTCACTGGAAACAGGGTCTTCCCTAATATAAAGTATCTTCAGAGAAGACTCCGGCTTCACTAAGGCAGGAAACTGGGCCCTTGTACATGAGACAGACACATGCTGAGTGACTTCCTGGAATATATCACTGAGTTTTGAGTTTGTTTTCTTTATTCCCAATCTGGTACCGGAGTATTGCTGTAATATGGAAGATGTGGATCCACGTGTCCACATCTTTAAGGTCATTCTTTTCTCGTGACCATGGCATAAAATATGTCTCTGAATATAGTTTCTGATCACTGAAGTCTGTAAAATCGTCCTAGGACCCCTCTCTAGTAGGCTCTGGGAAAATGCCATCAGTTCAGCTGGAACCCCAAATAAAGTCTGAATAAAGTGACAGATATCCATCGTGGCTCCTTCTGTTAAAAATGGCTGAGAACAAAGCTTCCTTTCCATAGTGGTTCCCAGAACATTTCCCAGCATCAGCATATTGGAGAGATACTTTCTAGGGAGTCGCTGCCTACGGACATGACTTTCCCAGACATTCTGTTGTCTACCCAGGAAGAAACTCCGAGGGTAGTAATCTCAGTGGATATGGAGAATAGCTCTGGAATGAATTCCCAGATTCCTCCATTTGTTTCTTTTCGGTTGCTTCCTTGGATAGGACATCCATTTCCCAGATGTCAGGATATAGGGTTCCCACAGTGTTCCCAATATCAGAGGGAAGAACCAAGGGAAGGGCTGATGAATGGAACATAATAGTGTCTGTATAGGACTCTGGAGACGGCAAAATACCAACAGCAAAGTTCTTCATAGCCAAGGCCCTTGATACCTCCGGCATTCCAGAACCCTGAAGGGGTCCTAACTCAGTTGTTTTGACAGAACTTGAAATAAATGGGATTGAAGGGCTGGGTATGAACCTAGAGAAGGAATCCTGTGCTTGTAACTTTTCTGATGTTATCATTTCTGAGTCTCTATCCTCACACACCCGTCTTTGATTCAAATCCTCAATTTCCATTACTTTAGGAGATTCTGTTCTGATCCCTAGAGATTTTTCAGCCTGAAGCCTTTGCTCGTGAGTTAATACTGGAGGTTCCTCAAGTGGAGATGTTTGCTCTAAGATTAATTCTGCAAAATTCTCTTGAATATTTGCCCTTGGAGTTTGTTCCATAGGTTTTACCATGTCTTGAAGATGTGGTCTTGGGAGAAAATTCAAACCATCCATTACTTTAATGCTAGATTTTGTGGCAACTCCTGTTGGTTCTATAGCCTGAGGATTTGGTCCTGGAGCCAGCTCTTCAGATTTTACAATCAGAAGCAGTGGTTTGGGAACCAATATAGTCTTTATAACTTGAAAGCCTGACAACTGTATTGTTTCTAAAATTTGATGTGTTGGTGCTGTAATTAATTTCCTTGATTGAACATTTTGTAACCAAAGTCTTGAAGCAAATTCTGACATTATCACATCGTGCAGTTTGGGAGTCAAATCAGTATGTTTTGACCCTTGAGAGGCTGGCCCTGGTATCATCACAGATTCTAGAACTTGAAGTGGCGGACCAGAGATAACTTCCACAGATTCGGAAACACTAGGGAGAGCGGCTGACTGAGAAACATGAAGCCGTGTCTTTGCGAATTCTGTCACTTGATTTAGTGGCGTTGGACTAATTGTTATAAAGTTTATCATTTGATCCAGTGATTCAATTGGAGTTATGTTTAAAGTTCCCATGCTTGCACCCTGGGGCTTTGTTAGCCTACTTGCTACCTCCCCTGGTTGCCATGACTCAAAAGTGAGCTCCTCACAGTCTGTATCTTCCACAACTTGACTCATTTGCTGGGTTGACAAATCTAAGGATTCTTCTATTTGCAGCCATGGCTTAGAGGTCAAATTTACAGATTCAGGAATCTGAGGTCCTTGCCCTGGTGTTATCCCTGAAGCAGAATCTGGAACGTGATAGGATGGCCTTGATGGAGATTGTTCCCTTTGGGATCTTTTCCCAGAGCTCACCACCACAGGTCCTAAGTCTTGAGGACACGGCCTTGGAGATTTTTCTACATGTCCAGTCTCTCTATTTACTGGCTTTGAAGTCACACTAAGAAATTCTTTCCCTGGTCTTACCTCACAAGTTAGCATCCTTACTTCTGCAACATGATTCTTAAGGTCGAGGGTCATTCTATCAGACTCTGTGGCTTGTTCTGTTGGTAACTCCTTGACATCTTTAAATTGAGGCCACAAACAAGGCAGCAACTGCAGAGTTTCTGGGCTCCAGCAGCTTCTCTGTGGGGTTAGTTCTGAGGACTTTGAATCTGGATCACTTAGTGTTGGAGTCAGATCAACAGATTCTGGTCCTTGAAGACCTAGCTGCTGAGGCATCCCTAATAATTCTATGACTTGATCTATTGGGTTGGGGGTCAACCTCGTAGAGTTCTCTGTTGTTTCTGGGCTTTTATGTCCCAACCCTTTTGTCATTTCTGAAGATCCTGCATCTTGATAAACTGGTAGTAAAATAATATCCACCAATTTAGAGACTTGGTGCCTCATCTTCTCAGCATAGTCCTCCAACTGGTGCCCTGCTCTATATATCTCTTGAGAGGAGTCTATGGTTTGATCACATAGATGTGTTTGGGGATTTTGGTTCCCAGGTGTCACATTTTGAAGGAATGGTCTTGGTGATAACCCCACAGAGGTTCCAGTTTGTGGCAGAGACACCGATGACAATTTCACATGGTTTACACTTTGCCACTTCGGCTCTGAAGTAAATTCCGTTGATTTCATGCACTGTTGCTGTGATTCCGGAATCAAATTTGAAAATTTGACACTAGACAGTGCTGGTCCTGCTAAGAAGTTCCCGGTGGACTCTGGGGTCGATGCCACTGGTTTCTCATTTAAAGGAAACTGTTGGCAATCCATGCTTTGCTGTTGGGAGCCTAGTCTCAGCTGCATAGGCTTTCTTTCATGAACACACGGCTTCGGTGCAAAGGAAGTCTTAGTACGTTGAGAACAGTGGCGTGGAGCGTACTCTAAAGGGTTCACACTTGGAGTCGGTGACCCTGGCTTCAACTTCACAGATTTAACTTTTTGAAAACAAGGTTCTGGTGGAAATTCCTTACTTCTCACGTCCTGCAGACTGCAGCCAGGTGTCACTTTTACAGAATTTGTCAAACAAAGCAATGGCTGGTTGCTCATCTCTGGAGACATTCTATCTTCAGGCAGTGGGGTTGGTGAAACTCCCACAGATTTCACACCATTTGACAGAGGCCTCAAAGTAAATGTGGGTTGTGCAGTTTCCTGCCACGACCCAAGTTGGTTCTTCAAAAATGGGATCTCTTGAAACTCTGCCCCTACCATTAAGTGAGATGACATCATACCTTGAAAAGGTGGTCCAGAATTCAACAGAACAGATTTTGGACATTGAGATTCTGATCCAGGCATCAACTCAAAGGACTTCATGTTTTGCAACTGTGCCCGTGAACTAAGCTTCGATGGATTTATGCATTGTAATTTTAATCCTGGATTCAATTCAGGAAAATTCACACACTGTACCTGTGGCCCAGGGTTGTATTCCACAGGTGCTATATCTATAATATTTGACCCTGGAATTGATTCAAACTTCAGGTCTTGCACGTGTTGTCCTTTGTTAACTATTAAGGGCATCTCTTTTGAATTCCTGTCCCTGAGTTCGACTCAGAAAACTTCATACCTTGAAGTTTCGGGGCTTGTAAATGTGGCCCAGGGTTGTATCCAGTAGAATTTACAGACTGTGACTCTTGTCTTCGAGTACAGGCAGAAGAATCCACATCTTGCAAATGTGTTTTGGTATTGCACCAAACAGGATTTACACACATAATTTGTGGTTCTGGAAATGTTCTACCATCATTCATACCAAGAAGAAGTGGCTCAAGACTACACCTATTGGAATGTTCACACTGAGGGTTTTGCCCTGGAGTGCATGAGGAAGGATTTACACCTTGATAATGTGATTTAGGATTGCGCCCAGTAGAACCTACACACTGAATGTGTGGCCCTAGAATTGATGCCCATTGATTCACACCTTGCAAATGTGCTTCAGGATGGCACTCAGTGGAATTTACACTGTGAGGACTTGTCCCTGGGGTGCATACAGAAGAATTCACACACTGAAGACTTGGTCTTGGGGTGCATGCAGAAGAATTCACACACTGAGGACTAGGCCCTGAGGTGCATACAGAAGAACTCATACACTGAGGACTCGGCCCTGGGGTGCATAGAGAAGAATTTACATCTGACCAGTTTGGCTCATGGATACACCCAGTATAATCTACACCTTGCAATTTTGGTCCTAAAATGCATGCAGAAGAATTCATTCCATGTAAATGTGGCCCAGGATTGCACACAGATTTTATACATTGAGGGTCTGGCTCTGGGATGCAAGCAGAGGAATTTATATCTTGCAAATATGGCCCACGTTTACACCCACTGGTGTTTATATATTGAGAATTTGCATTGGGAGTGCATGCAGAATTCACATCTTCCAAGTGTGGTCCAAGGCAGAACACCTTAGATTTTATACCTTGAAGGTCTGGACCAGGGTGCAACTCAGACAATTCTACATTTTGTGTTCCGGTGTTGGATGCCATAACATTTTCACAGTGAATCTGTGGCCCTGCACTCGGGTCACAGGATGGCCTACCTTGCAGTGTAGGCTTACGCTTGAATTCCGGAGATGGCTCATCTGGAAACTTGGTTTCTGTGCGTCCCTCAAAAGGTATTATCTCTTGCAAATGTGGCCCAGGGTTGACGTCTAAAGACTGAGGACTTATTCTCAGGCCCAACTCAGAAGACATCACATCTTGCAACTGTTGCTCTGAATTGAATTCCATAGATTTCAGGTCTTGAAGCTTTGTACATAATTCTGATGACTTGATATGTTGTAAATGTGGCTCATCCCCGAACGATATTTGTTTTATTTTTTTGAAGTTGTTGCTTTTGACTTAATTTGTGAGACTTCTGATCTTGCTTCTGGTTTCTGGCATTGAGTTCAGAAGGCACCACTCTATAAACCTTTGAGTCCGAGGCCTGCTTAGAGAATCCCACAAACTGTGATTCTGAACCATGATTGATCCCTGTATCCTTCATTGTGTGGATATATGTGGCCTCAGACTTCACACCTTTCAACTTTGATACACAGTTGACTGACTCAGGTTTCATACCTTGAAGATGTAATTCTGATGTTAACATAGTTAATTTCCTGTCCTATAAATGAGCGGTTTCCAACTGCAAAGGTTCCCTGTCAAGTGCCTTACCAAATGTCCATTTTAAAGATTTTACATCTTGCCACAGTGGCTGATACACAAAGCCTATGGGTTTTTCTTTTTGAAGTTTGTCCTAGAAATCACTTTGGAAGACTTCATACCCTGTGAGCATAGGCCAGGACTGACCTCCATAGATCTTCCATATTGAAGCTTTGTCCCCAGAATTGACTGAGAATATTTCTCATCTTGTAACTGAGGGCCTGAGTTTAACTTCCCAGATTCCCCATTTGGGGGCTTGGACTCCACTGTCACACCTTGTAACTTTGGGCCTTGATTAAACTCTACAGACTCCTTAGCTAGGAGCCTTTTCCCTTGAGCCAACTCAGACGGCTTTTTATTTTGTGTCTGTGGTCCAGAATTGAGGTCTACCGCTGTCACACCTTGGGATTTTACCTGTGTTACCACCTCAGAAGATTTTATACTTGTAACATGTTGTCCCATAGAGTTCACACCTTGAAGTTTCATATCCATGATCAGCTCAGGATATTTCAAATCTTGTAAAGGGGGGCCTGAGTCCAGCTCTACAGATTTTGAACCTAAGAACATCTTCCTCGGGGTGAAATCATGTTTCTTACTTTGTAACTTTGAACTAGGTTTGTCTTCTACAGATTTCATACCATGAACACTCTTCCTTGTAATGACTTCAGAAGTAATACCTTGTAAGTGTGGTCCAGGACCAAAGTCCACAGACATGACATCATGGATCTTTATACCCATGATTGTCCTTGAAGATTTCAGATCTTGTAACTGCGGGCCTGATTCCCAGTCTTCCATTTCCATTTCTTGAGGCTTTGTCCTCAGAAATGAGTTAGATTTTATACCTTGCACTGGGGCCCAGGTTTACAGCCTAGTTTGACACGTTGAGTTTTGGTACCCGTAGCTAACTCAATACATGCTTTACCTTTCATCGATGAGCTGCAACTTAACTTAGTACATTTCATATTTGGGGACTCTGTTTCAGGTGTCAAGTCAGAACATTTTGCACGTTGCCACTGGGACCCAGAGCTCTTCTCAGATTTCATACCTTGAGGCTTTGCCTGAAGTGCCAACTCAGAAGATTTTCCACATTTCAACTCTACATTGTTTTGTGGTTGTGGCCTTTGGCTTATTGCTCCATATTTCACTTCTGAGGACTGTGACTCTTGTTTAAACACTGAAGGTGTCACAGATTGAGGCTGTGTTCCTGGGGATGACCCTAAGGGATTCACTTCTTGAGGGTGTATTCCAGGGTTTAATCCAGGAGAGCTCCTGTCTTCTAAGCAAAACCTGGGTTTGAATGTCAATTTTATATTATTGATCTTTGACCTTAAGTTTGGGTCACATGCTTTCATAATTCTAAAACTGCGGCTCAGATTTAAAATCAGTAGTTTTGGACCTCTGAAACTGATGTTCCTGGGTTGACCCTGAAGGTTGTTTACCTTGTGACTTTGGCCTCGTAGTCAACTCATTGGATGTCTTCACATCTAGTTGTACTGAGGGTTTTAACTCTTTAGCTGTGACATCCTGAGGTGGTAACCTAAGATTCAGTGTAGATCTATTAACCTGATAGTCAGACAGTGGTATCCAAAGAACAGATTTTGTATTTTCAAGCTGTGGTCCCTGAAGCAATGCCACACTTTTCACACACTGAGACTGTAGCTCTGAGGTTGATGTGATGTTTTCCCCTTCTTGTAGCTCTGGTCCTGGGGACAACTCAGGGGTCTTCACACACTGTACTTGTGGCCCAAGGTTAAAATCCACAGATTTTTTTCCTTGAGGTTTTGGCCCTAGAGCCATGTCTGATGTCTTCACACTTTCCAGTTGTATGGATGGTTTCCGTTCTGTAGATTTGACACCTGGAGATGGTGGTTCATGATTTGATTCTATAAATGTCACACCGCGGAATTCAGGTCTTGGTAGCCACTGGATAGATCTTTCTACCTGTGTCTCTTTGTTTAGCTGATCAGTTTTGATCCCTTGAGGCTGTGGCTCGGAAGTTAAGTTCAAAGGTTTAGTTTTCTGCAGCCCTAGTGCAAACGGAGAGGTTTTTACTTGCTGTAACTGTGACTCAAGATGAAACTCTCCGGATTTTTCTCCTTGAATTTTTGACCTGACAGTCAATTCAGATGACCTCACACCTCTCCGTTGTGTAGACGGCTTCAATTCTGTAGGGCTGGCACTTTGAGACTGTAACCTAAAGTTTGACCCTATACATTTCTCCCTTTGAAACTCAGATACTGGTATCCACTGCACAGATTTTGTACTTGTACTTTCTGGTTCTGTATTTAGTGCCACAGTTCTCCCATCTTGAAGCAGTGGCTCTAACATTGGCTCCAAGTCTTTCACTTGGTACACCTGTGATTCTGGAGTCAATGGACAAGGTCTCATACTCGGCACCTGTGGCCCATATGGGCCCTCTTGAGCTTTTACATTATCAGGAGCCAATTTAAATGAGGGTGCATCTTTACATTGTAGTTTAGAGGTGAGCTCTATGGGTTTTCTACCTGCAGGTTTGGGTTCTTGATCTGACCCCATAGACAACATTTCTTCTGACTCCAACTGTTTGTTCAGGTGGCCGAACATCCCACCTTTCCACTCTGCTGTGCTTATGTGGTCATCCTGTCCGAGCTCAAGAGTTAAATCCATGGGTGCCCTTCCTTGATACTGTTGCGTTGAGACTAAATCCATGAATTTTACTCCTTGGATCCCTTGTTTTTTGGCTCTATTCACAGGTTTTAGACTTTGCTGCTTCAGACATGAGATAATCACACGTTTGCTATCTTGTGTTTGTGGCCGTGAAGTCAGTTCCTTGGGTTTTACATCTTGTAGATGAGGCCCTTGCAACACCTCCATAGGCTTGTTTTGAAATAGCATCCCTGGTACAAAAGTCATGGGACTCTCCCCTTGCTTCTTTGGTTCAAGTTCTAAGTGCATGGCATTTACATCTTGAACACGTGCATCACTGGCCAACCCCACAGTTATCAAATCTTGAATTCTTGAACCTGGAATCAGCTTTACAGATTTCATACTGTCTAACTGGGAACTACTTGGGGATATCACTGTAGATTTTATCCTCTCTAGACATTGTCCTAGAGTTAAGACTGCAGATTTCCTGTCTTCTAACTGTGGTTCTGAAGGGGGTAACTCATATTTTAAACCTTTCAAATTGGAGCCCGGAGGCAGCTCCTCACGTTCCTTATCTCCTGCTTGTATCCCCGGGGTTGACAGCATAGACATGATTTTCCCCAGCTCTGACTTTGACCTTAACTCCATAGATTTCCTGTCTTCCAAATGAGGCCCTGGCGTTAACTCTTCTTGGTTTGAGGCTGTGATCTTCTCTACAGGTTTTATATGTTCCAAATGCTGTCTGTGGATCAATGTAGAAGATTCTACACCTTGTGCCTGTGTTCTTCTGATCATCTCAGAATGATCTGCACCTGCCAAGTGTTTCCCAGGAGTCAGTTTCTTTGATTCTGCTTTTGGTATCTGTGGTTCAGATGCTAGTTTATAAGACATTTTGCCTTCAAAGTTTGGTACTTGATTCCTTGTGACATATTTTATATCTTTAAAGAGTGGTTCTTGTACTATTAACTCTGGCTTCATCCCTTGCCTCTCTGACTGTGTGGTCAACTCAAATATTTTTACATACTCTAACTGTGGCCCTGAGTTTAACTCTGAAATCTTCACACCTTGAGGTTGAGTTCCTGGAATTACATCAAAAAATTTGACATCCTGCAGCCATGGCCCCGAATTAAAACTCACCTGCCTTGTGTCTTGTAGCCCTGGAGTTGCCTTTGCTGATTTGTGATCATGTATCCCTAACTCTGGAGTCATAGGACTCATACCATGAGGCAATGATCCTGGGGTTTGCTCCCCAAATCTGACCCCTGGTAGTTTCGGCCTAGAAGCCAACGCAGAAAATTTGGTATCTTGGTGCCACAGTCCTGGATTGACCTGCTTAGCTATCACTCTTGGATGTTGTGGTTCAGAGGCTGGGATTGGGCGTTTCATGCTGCAAAACTCTGATACTTCCGGAGGCAACACAAGCTTCTTATCTTCAACCTGTGTCTCTTGGCTTAATGGCAAAAATGATTCTGGCATCAATCCCTGAGGCTTCCTGTCTTGAAGCTGAACACCTGGCATGAAGGTTACACATTTGAAACCTTGGTGTTTGGGCTCTGGGATGGCATCAGAGAATCTCACATGTTGCAAGCATGGTCTTATGTTTACGTCTACCGGCTTACCAGGTTGTGGTTGTGGTTGTGGCTGTGGTTCTGGAAGCTTTGGCCCCAGGATAAAATCTGATGATGTGGTTTCTGGCCCCAGGAATCATGATATTTCATCATGAGATTTCACACCATAATGTGGGGGCCTGAGATGAAATTTACTGGGGTTTCCCCTTGAAGAAGTAGCCCTTGATAAAACACTGGAAACTGGACACTTTGCAATTTTGGCCCTGGAATCAATTCTGATTTGACACTTAGCTGCTCTGGGCCTAGATTGAAATCCACAGATTTCACATTTGGGGGCTGTGTCCCCTCAATCCGTTCCTTCGGTGATAAACTTTGTAGACATGGCTCTGGTTTTGTCTTTTCAGGATCTACCTCTCCTGCAGATAACGGTTGTATTACACTTACAGAGTTCTCATTTTGCAACTGTGATTCTCTATCCATTTGCCTAGACTTTACTTCGTGGAGCTGTGGCTTTGGGATCACATCTTTAATATGTGGTTTGGGTCCTATAGCTAGTTCTGTAGGTTCTACAACTTGTAAGGGTAGTTCGGTGATTACTTCTGCAGACTTCAAATTTTGGGCAAAGGACTCTGATTTCTCACCTTGCACTCCTGATTCTAGACTAAACTCCAGAGATCTCACTTCTGAATATAGGTCTATGATGGTTCCCTGGGTATCATCGACTTTAGAGAATGTCAATCTGAAGGTCTCTGTGTCTTCATATTCTCCTTTCAGAGTTATTTCCGATGGGTTAGTAACTTCTGCACATGGTTCTAGAGTCACCTGAACAAGCTTCACATCTGGGGGCTGTGGCTCTGGGGCCACCACTCCTGAGGTCATAGTTTGCACTTCTGAATCTAGTAGCAAATCCAGAGTATCTTTAATTGCACTTCCTGATTCTGGAGTCTCTTCCATCCCTTTTACAACTTGGGTCCCAGGTTCAAGAGTATCTTGGAGTGGTGGTGAGCTCATCTCCACAGATTCTGAGGTCTGGCTCAATGGTGCTGGAGTCATCCCTAATGATGATTGTGGCAACGGAGCAGATTCTTCCACCTGCTGGCAAGGTTCAGAGGTCACTCTTGCTTCTGAGGTTGGATGCTGTAGGGTCAGTCCTTCAGGTTCTAGGAAATGATAACTTGGTTTGGGGGTCGCTTCTAAAGATTTTGTTGCATCAAAGTGTGTGCTTGGGATCAGTTCACCAACTTCCATGCTCTCCACCAGTGCCTCAGGAATTAGACTCCTACCTTCTACCAATGGAGTGTTTGTATCCTCAAGCAATGGTACATGGGCTATCTTATCAGAGCCGGTACTTTGTGAACATGGTTCTGAGGCCAAGTCCACAGATTTTACATCTTCAAGTGATGGTCTTGGAGTCAACTCCACCATCTTTATATCTCCTTGTAACTCCTGTGATAGGGCTGAAAGAGCTTCTTCCATTCCTTGAGATTGAGAATCGGGGATCCAATGTACTGATATATTGCTGTGCAACTGTGGACCTGCCGCCAACCCAGCAGACTTTTTGATTTGGTGTTGTGGTTCAATTGTCAGTTGGCCAGATTTCACATCTTGAAACTGAGACTCAGGGGCCGATGGCACAGATGTCTCACTTTGCAGTTGTGGTCTGGGGGTTAATTCCTCATATTGTGAATTCTGCTGATGCAGTTCTGGGGCCAAATCTATACATATCACTGTTGAGGTTGGTGGTCCATATTTTTCCATTTCTGGGACTAAATCTGTGGTTATGTCCACAGATTTCATACTTTGCAATCTTGGATCTGGGATTAGGTGCTCAGATTTTACATTCTGTAGTTCTGGGGGAAAGTCCATTGAATCCCTAACCTTAGGCTGTGGGATTGTGCTCCCCCCGAAATATTCCATTTCCTGAAGCAGTGGTATGACTGGCACTACTTCAGCTTCTGGAACTTGATGCTTTTGGCCCCTTCCTATAGGTACTGCACCTTGATCTGGTGGTGCTGGGATTGCTCTCATGGGTTCCATTATTTGATAATGTGACTTTGGAGTCAATGACACACACTCTGTGCCTTGAGGTTGTGGCGTAGTCCCCACGGAGTCAACTTGACCCTGTAACCCAGAAGTCAATTGCAGAGACTCTTTAGTTTGAGGCTCTACAATTTGTAGTGGTGTGATCATTCCTGTCGGAGATGCCTGGACTGGCGGGGTCACCTTTAGAGCATGCAGGGACTGACATGACGGTTGTAGGTCATCAGTCATTCCTGATGGTTCCAGTACTTTAGATGGTGGCTGTGGAGGTACGCTTCTAGATTCTACAGTTCCTGCTGGGACAGTAGTAGTCGGAACATCTGGTTGAGCTGACACTGGGGTCCAATTTTCAGCTGGAGGCTGTGAGCCTGGGATCAAAGCCCTAGATTTAGTAATGTGTGGCTGTCCTAGTGGAAATATCTGCATGAAATCCATGGCTTGTTTTGCCACTGGAGACACTTTTGTATCTTCAGTGGCTTCAGGCAGTGCACTTGAGCTAATTTCCATTGCATTTTGATGTACTGGACTGGGAGTAATCCTGATGTATTTTGAGGCTTGATTCTGTGACCCCAAGGCCATGGTCAGTGTTCCCATGTCTTTATGCTGAGGCTGGGGAATCATTTCCACAGCTTCCACAACTGTCTGCTGTGGCCCTCGACTCATACTTCATGGTCTTATGGCTTGATAGTTATGCAATGTATCCATCTTCACTGATTCCATGACTTGGTATTGTGGCTGTGGGGCTACTCCTACTGGTTCTATGCCATGTGGACTTAATTTGTCAATCATCTCCATGGAATCCGTCACGTGAAACAATGCCACAGGAGTTACCTCCAGGTTATCTGTGACTTGACTCAGTCTTGAGGCCATGCTCTTTAATTCCGTGCTTTGATGCTGATGATGGGTTACTTTTAGTGGTTCAATTACTTGATTCGATGGCTGAGGAGTTATCCTCACTGTTTCTGCTTGATTTGGCGGCTCTGGGGAAAACCCCACAGAGTCTATCAGCTCCGACTGTGACTCTGGGATTATTCCCATTAAGTCCATAACCTGAAGCAATGCCAATGGAGTGAGTGACCTTTATGCTGCCAGTGGCTGAACGTGGTATCTTGGGTGTCAGCTCCACGTTAGTTAGTTGAGCCTTATGTGTCTGTACCCTTTTTTCTGGAAGACCTATGACCCTCTGCTCTATATTCAGCTCTAACACATGCTTTGAATTCTTTTTCAGTAAGGCTTGTTCTTCCTGAATTATGTTAACTCCTAAATTTCTGGGAGATGGTGTGCCCGTTGATATAACTAAAGGATTATATCTAAGTTCTTGGCGGTCATCCTCGGGTTGTGACTGCCTGTTTGAGGGAAATGGCTGTGAAATGATTGCTTCCGTCCTATGGACTTCAGAATTCACCCCAATGTTCACGTGGAGATGAAATGATGGAGGATCTGGAGATGTGTTGGTATTTTGCTCAACACTCTGAGGGATGAGTGCAGGTAACTGAGTTTTCGGGAGCTCTTCTTCAGGGACTCCTTGTACATCCATCAAATGATTGAGTATGTTCCAGGATTTCTTCACAGGCAGAGGCACCACTTGTTGTCCCAAAGTAGAAACCTTATCTTTTGTTTTCTCTTGTTCGCAAGGATCTAAGGATTCTAAAATAGAGCTCATAAAGGAAGTTTGAGCTTGTAAGGGACGAAGAACTGCCAAATTCGGAGAAAGATCTGATTTCTCAGGATCTGTCAGCTGAGAAGTAGGCAGGGATGTGCCAGGGCTCCTGGGCATAGATGCTTCCTTTTGGGAGGAAACAGGTCCACTATCGCTCTGGAATTGCCAAGCTGTCCCTTCAGGAAACATTGGAAGATAAGACAGGCTCGAGCTGTTGTTGGATGATGCAGAGGACATGCTGTAGTCAGTAGAAGGCTTTCCCTTTTGACAGTAACAGCTGGGTGGGACAATCTCCTGAACCACAGTGTCAGAGTCGGAGGAAGAAGTCACATCTCGGGATTCTAAAACATTCAGCTCCATAAGTGTTGATCTGAGAAACAAAGAAAAATGTTTTCATTTTCTTTGGAATCAGTAGGGGAAGTTAGAGAGAAGGGAGGGAGTGTCTAGTTCAAATCCAAAATATTTTTAGTCTAAGGGAGAGAAGAAGGAAAAGAGGGGTTGCATCCACAAACATCAATTATTTATGTCAAGAATTCCTCCGCCAAGAGCAAAGTAGACGAGTCCGTCAGTAGAGTGCATGCTATACAAATAGAGAAGCTGAGTTCCATCCCTAGAACCCACAGGAAAATAAAAGAACACAGTGCCCCAGTGCTGGGCAAGCAGAGACAAGTAGATACCCTGGGACTCACTGGACGGCCAAGGCTGATCAGTGAGTCCCAGGGAGTGACTCTATCTCACAACACAAGGTGGATGGCTCCCAGAAATGACACCCAAGTTTTACACACACACACACACACACACACACACACACACACACACACACACACACGCACACCTGTGCTTGGCATGACCTGAGTTTGAGCCCTAAGACTCACATGTTGGAAGGAGAGAACTGACTCCTGTGGCTTGTCCTCTGACCACCACATACATGATGTGGCACCTATGTGCACACATGCAAAAAATACAAATGAATAAAATATATACATATATTTACACAGTGAGGCCTAGAGAAATAGCCCAGAGGATAAGAGCAGTGACTTAGTGACTGCTCTTCCAGGGGACCCAAGTTTGAATCCCAACACACACATGGTAGGCCACAAACATCTGTAACTCCAGTACCAGGGGATCATATACCCTCTTGTGATCTCTCTGGGCACCAGGCATGCATGTGGTACACATACTTACCTGCGGGAAAAATATCCATACAGATCAAACATAAAACATATAAAGCTCACAAAAGAGTTCTCCACTGCTCCTCAAACTAACTTTTTTCCTTTACATCCTTCCTTTACTTTCTTTCCTTCCTTCCTTCTCTTCTTCTTCTTCTTCTTCTTCTTCTTCTTCTTCTTCTTCTTCCCCCCATCTCTCTCTCCCCCCGCCCCCATTCAGCCCCCTGCCTTGTGACTCTGTTTCCTGACCTTGCATTATCCAGATGTTGGAAGATCTGTCGAAGACTCCTGTCTATTGACCAGAGTACATATTCCTGGGTCCCTTCGGTAGGAAGTCCTGAAATACTGGACACAGCAGAGTATGTCAGTGGAACTGAAGTGACATTGCAGTAGGAATAGAAAGATAATTTAGGAAGGAGGCAATTGCTCTCAGAGTAAATGAAGTCAGAGTGCCAGGTATTTTACGTACAGCATTCACAATGAAGATGGTGTCACGGGTAGGAATTCTATTGCTGTCATGAACCCCAATGAACATAAACAAGTTGTGGGGACAGGGTTTGTTTCAGCTTACAACACTCAGGTCATACTCCATTGCTGAGGGAAGTCAGGGTAGAAACTCAGGGCAAGATGGATCCAAGAGGCAGGAGCTGATCCAGAGGCCATGGAGCTGCTTACTGGCTTGCTTTCATGGTTTGCTCACCCTGCCTTCTTGTACCCCCTGAGACCACTAGCTCATGCGTGGTACCACCCACAGTGAGCTGGACCTTCCCACATCAATCATCAATTAACAGAATGCAGCCAGGCATGGTGGCACATGTCTTTAATCCCAGCACTTGGGAGGTAGAGACAGGTGAGTTCAAGGCCAGCCTGGTCTACAGAGCGAGTTCCAGGACAGCCAGGGTTATACATTGAAAAAAAAAAGAAAGAAAGAAAAAAAGAAAAAAAAGAATGAAAATATACTATGGTGATATTTTATTTGTATTAGAATGTTATTTGTATGTTAATAAATAAAGTTGCCCGGGAGTCAGAGCTATTAACAAGCCATAGGAAAGCCAGACAGTGGTGGTGTATGCTTGTAATCACAGCACTTGGTAGGCAGAGCTAGGTAAGTCTCTTTGTGTTCAGGGATACAGCCAGCATTGGATACACACGCCTTTAATCTCAATACCAACCATAGAAGACCTGGAGGTCTGTACAGACAGGCAGTGACGAGGCGGTCATGTGGTTGAGTTTACAACCAATGAGAAGGCAGAGCATAAAGTCTATATAAAGACTTTAATACAGGAAGTAGCTCTCTTTTGGAGAGGTAGGACCACCACAGGAGGACGGGTAAGGTTTTTGCTCTTAGCTCTGACCTCTTGGCTTTCTTCTTTGCATTGGTTCTGTGTTTCTTATTTAATAAGTAGATGGGTTGTTTGGGAGGTGGCTGTGTCATGAGATGGAAAAACTACAAAACACTGTTGTAGAGAGTAAATAGTAAATAAGACATCCTTTGTTCATGATCAGAAGGTTTGATGGTAAAATGACATTACCAACACAATCTATAGATTCTGTAGGGATGCTGTGTAATCCCTACCCAAACCCCAGTGACCTTTTTTGCATAAATGAAAACCCTCTCCTAAAAATCCCTATGGAATTACAGAGATCCCTCAGGAGCCAAAACAACCTTGAAAAAGAACAGTCAGGGCTGGAGGGATGGCTCAGCGGTTAAGAGCACTGGCTGCTCTTAGAGAGGTCCTGAGTTCTCAGCAACCACATGGTGGCAGGCAGGGATATATGCAGACAGAACATTGTATATATAATAAGATAGATAGATAGATAGATAGATAGATAGAAGATAGATAGATAGATAGATAAAAAATAAATAAAAAGAACAGTCAGAAGACCCATACTTTCTGATTTTAAAACTTTGTACAGAGCGAGGTGGTGGTGGTACACACCTTTAATCTCAGCACTCAGAGCCTGGTGGATCTCTGTGAGTTTGAGATCAGCCTGGTCTACAGAGTGAGTTCCAGGACAGCCAGGGCTACACAGAGAAACCCTGTTTTGAAAAACCAAAAAGAAAAAGAAAAACAGTGTACAAAACCACAGTACTCAAAAATAGTTGTGGTACTGGTTTAAGAATAGACCTATAAGGCCGGGCGGTGGTGGCGCACGCCTTTAATCCCAGCACTCGGGAGGCAGAGCCAGGCGGATCTCTGTGAGTTCAAGGCCAGCCTGGACTACCAAGTGAGTTTCAGGAAAGGCGCAAAGCTACACAGAGAAACCCTGTCTCGAAAAAACCAAAAAAAAAAAAAAAAAAAAAAAAAAAAAAAAAAAAAAAGAATAGACCTATAGAGTAGGGTGGTGGTGGTGCACGCCTTTAATCCCAGCACTTGGGAAGCAGAGGCAGGCAGATCTCTGTGAGTTCGAAGACAGCCTGGTCTACAAAGTGAGTTCCAGGACAGCCAGGACTGTTACATAGAGAAACCCTGTCTCTAAAAACAACCAAAAAAATTATTTTAAAAATAGACCTTTAGGATCAAAGGAATCTAATATTAAAAGTCAGCTGATTCTCTCCATAGGCACTATGACCATTCAATGCAAAAAGAATAAGCTTCAGCCAATGGTGCTGAGACAACTGGATAACCACATGTAAAGGAATGAAGTTGGGCCTTTTACTTCATATCATATTTAAAACAAACTGGAGATGGAGTGAAAACCTAAACGTAGGAACTATTTAAGGTATGAAACTCTTTCCAGATAAAAAAGAGGCGAAGAATTAGGCTTGGGGAGATGGTTCAGTGGTTAACAACAGCACATACTGCTCTTGCAGAGGTCCCAAGTTTGATTCCTAGCATCCATATCACACGGCTCACAGTCCCCTGTAACTCCAGATCCATGGGGATCCAGCACCTCTGGCTTCTGCTGGCACCTGTGCTCATGCTCACACTCACAATTACACAAACACACAATTTTATACACACACACACACAACACACATTTTTAAAAATAATAATAAATCTAAGCAAGAGAAAGAAGTGTAATGGTTAATTTATGCCGACTTGGCTAGGCTATAGAGCCCAGTTGTTTGGCCATATATTAGTCTAGAACATTTCTTTGACAGTAATTTTACATATGATTAACATTTAAAATCAGTACACTTTAAAGCAGATTGCCTTCCATACTGTGAGTGGGCATCACCCAATCAGCTGAAGGCTTTAAGAGCAGAGGCCAGAACTCCCTGAAGAGGAAAGAATCCTTCCACAAGACTCAAGCACACAAAAGTGTACCCATTTTTCTAGCCTGCCCTGTCCTGCAGAGTTTGGGCTTGGGACAATGACATTAACTGTTACCCAAGTTTGTCTATGAATTTCAGAGGAGCTATGAGAGCCTATTTCTTAACCTTAGTATATCCTCCTTTGTGTCTGTGTCTGTGTGTGTGTGTGTGTGTGGTGTGGGTATGTGTGTGCATGTGTTGTGTGTGGTAGGTATGTGTGTGTGTGTGTGTGTGTGTGTGTGTGTGTGTGTGTGTGATAAAGATCAACCTAGTCTTTATTCCAGATTCTTAGTACAGAACTCCAAAAACCCTTGCAATTCCCTGAGTATTGAGGGTGTCTGTTACATTAATGAGATGGAAATTTGGATTTGCTTCTATTTTTAATTGAGGAAGCTGGAACAATCATCATTCTAAAATCTAATTAAGACCTGACCAGTCAATATATTTATGCATAGATGCATAAATCTCAAACAAAATATCAGCAAACTGAATCTAATGAATCTAAATAAAGTATTGGGACCAACATTACAAATGTGTTATACGTATCCTAGGAATTCACAGCTGGTTTATTATCTTACATTCTCATGCAACTCAGTACATTGATTGAACAAACAAGAAAAAATATATGACCATCTAAATAGAGGCAGGAAATATACTTAATATTTAGCACCCAGTATAGAGAGATTTAATTTAAAATTTTAGAAGATTCTTTTAAAAATTAACACTAATTCTTGCTAAAACTTCCTTAACTTGGAAGAGAGTATTTGAAAAACATACACAACTGGTGAATTATTTAAAAATGTCTTTGACTTAATAAAGAGACAGATGCCCACAACACATTGCTACTGAATATTGTACCTGAAGTCATAATCATAAATGAAGGCAAGGAGAACCAAGACATAAGGTTGGAAAAGAGGTAATAAAACTGTTGTTATTTACACATGACATGATTTAGAGTATATTCCTACAGGAGGATAAAGTCAAAGTGATACACTTAGCAGGGTTCTCTAAGCAGCTCAATATGGAAAGATCTGTTGTATTCTCAGGTTTCGGTATCATTTGTATAAAATGGTATTTACAAGGGGTGGTGGTAGTGCACATCTTTAATTCCAGCACTTGGGAAGCAGAGGCAAGTGGATCTGTGTGAGTTCAAGGCCAGCCTTGTCTCAAAGTGGATTCCAGGACAGCCAGGGCTACACAGGAAAACCCTGTCTCAAAAAATAAAAAAGAAATTATAATATTATACCAGGCCTGTGGATGTAGTTCAGTGGTGGACTGCTTGCAGAGAGCATAAGACTCTGGATTTGATCCTTAGCAATAAAATAAGTAAATAGATAGATATAGATGACAGATAGATAGATAGATAGATAGATAGATAGATAGATAGATAGATGGATGGATGGATGGATGGATGGATGGATGGATAGATAGATAATATGGATAAGATAGATAGATGATAGAAAGATAGATTTAGATTTAGATGATGAATATGATGATAGATAAAAATAAAATGCCATGCCAAATCGCACATTTTTGCCTCCTGATGATTATCATTACCTATGAACTATGTCACCTCTTCCTACCAGAAAACAAATTCTGATAAATCTTAGAACCAGCTTCCTCATGGTTTTAGTTCATGTTGAGCTGCTGAATTAGAATACTTATAATCAGTTCATTTTTGAGGGAGAGAGGTTTAGTTGGCTTCATGGTTCCAGATGTCTAAGATCCTAGAGCTAGCATGTCCTTCCCTTCACACGAGGATGTCTAAGAGCCTAGTGCTAGCATGTCCTTAGCTTCACATGAGGATGTCTAAGAGCCTAGTGCTAGCATGTCCTTAGCTTCGCATGAGGTCTTTGTGTAGCTTCAACTCACAGCAGAGGCAGAGGAGCAAGTGGATGTGTGTGGAAGACAAAAGGGGTCCCGTCTCCTGTGGCAGCTAACCCAGTCCTCAGAGAGTGAGGAGCCATGCCTGTGAGACCTTAGTCTAGAAAGAATGCATTAAACCCGCTTGAAGGTCACACTTTCCAACTCTGCTCCCCTGGCAAATGCATTTCTACATGAGTTCTGGATAAATCTCAACTCACTCACATGAAGTACGAGAGGCACCAGTTGTCAACTGACAACATGGAGGGGCATTATCATTTTTCCTGATTTCAGAATATTTTATACATGTGTACAATAAAATATAATCATACCCACCCCTCTCCACTCCAACTTCCCCCATACATACCCCACAATATATCCACCTCCCAACTTCATGCTTTCTTTTTATTTTTTTTTATTTATTTATTTTTTTTTTTTTTTGGTTTTTCGAGACAGGGTTTCTCTGTGTAGCTTTGCGCCTTTCCTGGAACTCGCTTTGGAGACCAGGCTGGCCTCGAACTCACAGAGATCCGCCTGGCTCTGCCTCCCGAGTGCTGGGATTAAAGGCGTGCGCCACCACCGCCCGGCCATGCTTTCTTTTTATAACCCACTAAGTCCAATTAGTGTTGCCTAGATGTGTATGGCTACACCGCATGGGTATTTGATCAACAAAATGTTGATTGTGAAATCGAGAGAAATGACCCTTTTATCCAATACATGAATGAAACTAATAAAATAAAAGAGAGACTCTGTAGATTAGAATACAGAAACATATAGTTCAATCTCAACATTCAATATTGAGTTGGGCTAAATAATAATTTATGCCATTAAGTTTCTGCGTGACTATTGGAATTTAAATGCTGGCGGGTATTTGAGGTATTAAGGAATTATTCAGATTTTATTGTTACATTTTTAGGTGTAATAATGATATTGTGATTAACCTGTTTTTCTTTTCTTTTTTGTCTTTGTGGAGTGGGGCAGGATCTCAAAATATACATACTAAAACATTTACCATGAAATTATTTCTGAATTGCCTCACAATGATTGAGTGACAGGTCTATGAAGATTCATCAGACAGCCTTTAATTTTTTTTCTTATACTAAGGATTGAATGTAGTGCCTTGTTCAGACTAGGCTCATTTCCAATTCTGTGTGCCTTTGATTTGCCTGAAATTATCCTCAATAAAAATCAAGGAAAGCCGGATGGTGGTGGCACATGCCTTTAATCTCAGCACTTGGGAGACAGAGGGAGGTGGGTCTCTGTGAGTTCAAGGCCAGCCTGGGCTACAGAGTGAGTTCCAGGAAAGGCGCAAAACTACACAAAGAAACCCTGTCTCAAAAAACAAAAACAAAAAAAAAAGGAAAAAAAATGGACCCGAGATGTAGCTCAGTGGTAGAGTGCTTTGCCTAGCATGAATTGGATCCTTACTAACACACACCTAACATACACCTAACACACACACACACACACACACACACACACACACACACACACACACACACAATGCACAAATGACTTGAATAGGAAGTTTACAAGAGAGAATTTCCAAATGGCTAATAAACCTGAGGCATTGCTCAGTGTTTAGTTATGGGGGTTACACAGGAAATCACAATGCCACACACTCACTGGAATCACTGAAATAAGAGGTGGGTGTGCCAAGTCTGGGTAAGATGGCAGGACTGTGGGGGAGCCAGTCACTCATGGTCTGCTCAC